CATCTTGATACAGGAGCATCTTTGGAGAGTAACTCTGAGCATGCATCTCCTTGGCCATTAGTCTCCCTCTAGAAAGTAGGAATTGGACTCCAATAGGAGGATCTCCAGTGGGAAGGTGTGGTTACTGGTCCCAACACCCACATAGCTCTTAGTGGAACCACACCACAGGCTTGACAAAACTACATCTTCAGGTAGGAAAGTGAGTTACAGCAGTGTCAAAGGTAGGAGTCAGCAGATCTAGATGAGCTCTAGAATCCAGTCCCCAGTGTGGTGATCCAGATGTTTTGCCCTGCAGTGCTAGGATCAGAATTCAGGGATTTGTGAATACTAGGCAAGTATTCTGCTATTGGGTTGCATCCACAGCCCCCAGGTTTTTTATTGTTTTTCTTTTTTTTTTCCTTCTTTCTTTCTCTTTCCCTCTCTCTTTCTTTCATTCATTCTTTCTCTTTCTGTCATGGCCTTGAACTCAAGGCCTGTGCACTGTCCCTGAGATCTTCATGCTCAAGGCTAGCACTCTAACACTTTGAGCCACAGCTCCACTTCCAGTTTTCTGGTAGTTATTTGGAGATAAGAGTGTCCTGGACTATCTTACATAAGCAGGCTTTGAACTATGATCCTCACATCTCAGCCTCCTCAATAGTTAGAATTACAGACACTAGTATTGTGCCCCAGATTTATTTGTTTTGGGGGTTTTGTCAGTCGTGGGGCTTGGGCACTGTCCCTCAGCTCTTCAGCTCAAGGCTAGCACTCTACCACTTGAGCCACAGTACCACTTCCTTCCGTGTTTTTTTGTTTGTTTTTGTTTTTATTTGTTTCTGAGTGGTTTACTGGAGATGAGTCTCACAAACTTTCCTGCCCAGGGTGACTTTGAACCGAGATCCTCAGATCTCAGCCTATTGTGTAAATAGGATTACAGATGTGAGCCACCTACACCCAGCTCCAGATGTGGTCTTTTTTTTTTTTAGACCCCTCTGCTCCAGAAATTAGAAGACTGGATCTGGCTGATTGCAAGACTGAGAGCAAGCAGTATAGAGCCTCAATTAGGCTTTTTTTTTAGGGTGGGGGGAAGGAGGGCGACGGCCCTGGGCTTGAACACTGGGCCTGGGCACTGTCCCTGAGCCTCTTTGTGCTCAAAGCTATCGTTCTACCACTTCAGCCTCAGTAACACTTCTGGCTTTTTCTGTGATTCATTAGAGATAAGAGTCTCATGGCCTTTCCTGCCCAGGTTGGTTTCAAACTGGAATCTTCAGATCTCAGCTTCTTGGGTAGGATTGCAGCATGAGCCACCCCCCCCCCCCCCCCGCTTCAATATGGTTTTTTATGAGGCAGGTTGGGACTGCACTCTCATACCCAAAGGAGAAAGAAATTTTAAATAAGCTGTTCTGGGCCTACTGGGAACCAATAAACTTTTTGCTGCACCAGATTGCCACCTGCTGGCCATACATTGCCATCACAGCCAAATAGGAACACCCCTTGGTCAAACTTTTTTGTTGTTGGTGGTCAAGGGGCTTGAACTCTGGGCCTGGGCCCTGTCCCTGAGTTCTTCAGTTCAAGTCTAGCACTCTACCACTTGAGTCACAGTGCCACTTCCAGTTTTCTGGTGGTTAATTGGAGATAAGAGTCTCACGCACTTTCCTGCCTAGAGTGGCTTTGAACTGTGATCCTCAGCTCTCAGCCTCCTGAGTAGCTAGGATTACAGCTGGCCAAACCTCTTCACAACCTTAAATTAAATGAGCAGTAGGGCTTCAGTGGAGACTCTAGAGCTAAATCCAGATCATGAGACAGAATCAACAATGCCCTGGGTTAAGTGCTAGGGGAGGAGGTGGGTGCGATATGGAGAAAGGTCTAGAAGAAATGAGAAGAGGGTAGGGGTTAGACTAGGTGGGCCTCATTAAGTTTGAATTTTGTGCTAAGGGAAAGAGAAATCCAGCAGAATAAGAGGAAGGTGTTAGTAAGATCCTTCTGGTCTTTGTCAGGAGAAAGCAACAGGATAATCTGAGAGGAAGCAGATTCAATTTGAAAATCATTTCAGTATCAAAGATGAGAGCAGCTGCTGGCATAGATTACAGGGTGGCTGTGAAGGATGGAGGGGGAAATGGTCTGAGAAATATTCAGGAAGTAAGACTGATTAGGTTTGATAGAAGCCAAATCTCAATGTTGGGCACCTATGACTCACATCTGTGATCCCAGCTACTACAGGAGGATGAGATCTAAGGATCATAGTTAAGAGCCCAGCTTGAGCAGACAAATCCAAGAGACTCATCTCCACTTAGCCAGCAAAATGCCAGAACTAGAGGTAGAACTAAAGTGGTAGAGCACTAGACTTGAGAGTGAAAAGGCTAAGCAAGAGAGTAAGGCCCTGAGTTCAAGCTGCAATGCTGGCACACACACATACACACGCATACACAAAGGAGGAAGAGATAAACGCACTTACTAGCTGGGCACTAGTGGCTCACACCTGTAAAACTAACCACTCAGGAGGCTGAAACCTAAGGATCCTAGTTAAAAGCCAGTTAATCAGCAAAAAGCCAGAAGTAGAGTTGTGGCTCAAGTGATAGAACACCAGTCTTCAGTGAAAAAAAGCTAAGGGATAGCACTCTGGCTGTGTTCAAGCCCCAGTACCAGCATGCATGTGCTTATACACACACACACACACACACACACACACACACACACACACACACACACTCAAAGAAAAAAAGCAGAGGATCCGCTATGTGCCAGGAGCTAATCCACCTGCTTGGAAATACAGTATTGTAAGCATGTCAGGGGGGAAAAAAGGCAGGGTGGAGGGACTCTACTTTTCTCAAGGCCTATTTCTGTCTGATAAGGAAGGGTAAAGAAGAGGTGATAGTAAATAAGCAAATAAGAAAAATATCAGAAGTGGAATATGAACCATCTAGAGAACAAAAAAGAGTAATAGCCGGGCGCTGGTGGCTCACGCCTGTAATCCTAGCTACTCAGGAGGCTGAGATCTGAGGATTGCTGTTCAAAGCCAGCCCGGGCAGGAGAGACCATGAGACTCCCATCTCCAATAAACCACCAGAAAACCGGAAGTGGCGCTGTAGCTCAAGTGGTAGAGCGCTCGCCTTGAGCTGAAGAGCTGAGGGACAGCGCCCAGGCCCAGAGTTCAGGCCCCATGACCGACAAAAAAAAAAAAAAAAAATCAAAAAAGAGTAATAGTGACTCTCTGAAGCTGGGTGCTGGTGGCTCATGAGTATAATCCTGGCTACTCAGGAAGCTGAGATCTAAGGACCACAGTTCAAAACCAGCTCTAGACAATGAGACTCTTATCTCCAGTTAACCACCTAAATCAGGATGTGGAGCTGTGGCTTAAAGTGGTAGAGCTAGCCTTGAGCAAAAAGCTGAGGGCCAGCACCCATTCCTTGAGTTCAAGCCCCATGACCAACAAACAAAACAAAACAAAACAAAATAGTGAAACTGGGTGCTGGTGGCTCACACCTGTAATCCTAGCTATCAAGAGGCTGAGATCTGAGGATTGTGGTTCAAAGCCAGCCTGGGCAGGAAAGTCCATGAGACTCTAATCTCCAATAAACCACTCAGAAAACTAATAGTGGTGCTGTGGCTCCAGTGGTAGAGCACTGGCCTTGAGCTAAAGAGCTCAGGAATAGTGCCCAGGCCCAGAGTTCAAGCCCCACGACAGACAAAAAAAAAAGTGACTCTCAAGCTGGATCCCAGTGGCTCACACCTATAATCCTAGCTACTCAGGAGGCTGAGATCTGAGGATCACAGTGCGAAACCAGTCTGGTAGAAAAGTCCATGACACTCTTACTTCCCATTAATCACCAAAAAAAGATGGAAGTGGAATTGTAATTCAAGTGGTAGGATGCTAGCCCTCAGCACAAAAGTTCAGGGACGGCACCTGATCCCTTTGTTCAAGCCCCAGAAGAACTCAGTTCCTACAGACAGAACATACAAATTAAACGTGGTGAGGTGGGGTGTGGTTTCTTTGTCTGACTGGGCCTCGCCTAAGCTCATAGCAAGAACTAAATTAAATACCTGGCATAGGAACCTTAGTGCAGGCCTGGCCTTGAGCATACACGGTATTCGTGGGCTCTCCTATCAGAAAGGACTCTCCATGTCCTTAGCTGTCACTTCTAGATCCAAGTCAAGGCCTAGACCCCAATGTAATTCCTTCTGCTCCCCAAGCCCTAGTTGTGAGCCCATCTCATTTCATTAAGACAGAAATGGGCACTCAGTCTCCATTTGCCAAAGAGGACTATGCGAACCAACAGTCACATCCAACAAAAACAAACACCACAGGTTATGAGGAATGTATTGCTTTTATTTCTTTGGTTTTGTTTGGTTTGGTTTCCAACTTTACTCTTAGAAAATGCAAACTCAGTCTCTTCCTGCCCACTTTGTGCCTCTTAAAGATCAGACTTTGAGAAGAGGCTCAGCACAACCCCCCAGCAGGGACCAGGCCTGAACCTGCGATCTCGTGTGCCTCACCGCTTTCCTTTTAGGCCATCGACATTCTTTCTAAACCCTGTTCCTCTTGCTGAGCCTGCCACCCAAACTGGCACCAAAAATGTTCCTCTGAAAATATCTGGTAGAGGGTGCCACTCCCCAAAGAAACTGAAGGCGTATTCTGCCTAATGGGACAGATGGCTAGAATATTCCTCTTTCCCAGGAAAAGTAGAAAGCAGCCTTAGCTAGCCATCTTTCTCTATCCCCTCACCCAAACATACAGCTGCCCACACTGGTGAGGGAGCCCAGGCAATCCGCTTGAATCAAAACAAAGAAACTAAAACACAACTATAAAAACAGAACCAGCCAACAACCAAAGACAACACCAGTGCTCTTGTAGCAGGAGACCAGGTGATTGATTTTCTGGCTCTTTTCTGTCCTAGAGCCAGGAAATAACACAAGCATGCGCTCCAAGTCACTGTAGCCAAAGGGCACAGTCGCCAAGCCCGGAAACAAGTCCCAAACTAGTCCCCGCCCTCTTGCTTTCAGCCCCTTTTAGCACCACGGAGTCAGCCATCCACAAGGGTAAGGCCTTCATAAAGGGCTCGCTTCCACATGTAGTAGGTAGAGCGGGCAGTGAGGGGGAAGAGGGCGCTGAACTCCTTGTAGGAGGGGAAGCTCTTGGACTGGAAGCGCTTCTGCAAGAATAGCTTCGCCTGGGCCTTGAATGTTGTGGTGGGGACGTCCACCACCAGCAACTGGCTATTCTCCACACCCACTGCTGCCACCACAGGCTGGCTGGACAGGGAATGGCTATGGGGCTCAACCGGGGCCATGGCGCCCTCTCTGGAAGGCCATCCTCCCTGAGTTTCCTCTGGATCCTTTTCTAAGGAAGCCCCCACTGCCGGGGTTCCTCCGGGCAGGGCCTTCACAGCGGTCACATTCCCAACAGCCTCCTTCTCCTGCTGCTTCTCCTCGGCCTCCTGCTTCCCAGTACCCACACATGGAGTTGGCACCTGGGGCTTGGCCAGGGCTCTGGGCCAGCCCCGGGCAAGACTCTTCCAGACCCAAAAGGTAGAGGGTGCCAGATGAGGGTAACGGAGACGGAAGCGACAGAAGGGCAGATACCCACTCAGCACCTGCTTGCGGGCAGCCACGCGCAGGCGTTTCTGCCAACGTGACAGGGACCTCCAGGGGGACGGGAGCTCTCGGGGAGCAGGGGGGCCCTGATCTGTGGCTTTTTCCACCGTCTCTGCCACCTCATCCTTCCAAGGGGGCAGAGTCTCTTTCCCCACAGACACTGGTTGGGGAGCCAGGGGGACTTCCACAAGCGGTTCTGGCTTGAAGCTGGGGTTCTTCCGGAGGGCCTTCCGCCGCCAGTTGTAGTAGGTGGATCTGGAGATGCCAGGGAACCTGCTTTTGAAGCAGCGATAGGGCACCATTGTGTTCAGGGCGATGCAACGCTCCAGGTAGGACTTGGCCTGCTGCATTAAGACCATTCCTGGGCTGGACCCGGCGGGTGGAGAGCACCCTGGCCCCTTGGTGGCTTTCTCCCCTAGCAACTTTGCCATGGCTGTCACCTCCCTAGGAACAGGGTCCAGGGCAGGGTCTGCAGCTGAGCCCAGCAGCTCATGCTTCCAGGCATAGTAGGTAGAGCGGGAGATCTCGGGGAACATCTGGAGGAACTGCTGCAGAGGCACGAGGCACCCGGCCCGATGGAAACTGTCCTGTAAGAAGTGCTTGGCCGAAAAGCGGGTGGCCACCTTCTGCCGGTGCTCCTGGGACTGCCGGCGCCAGCGGTAGAAGGTGCTCTTGGTGACATGGTGGTGCTCCCCCAGGTGAGAGTAGCTGAGGCCAGGCTGATAGGTGAGCAGTTCCAGGGTCTTGGCTGGTGGTGGCAGCTGGGCCAGCGAGGGAGGACCGGGCGCAGGGTGAGGAGCACCATCCACCTCCACCTCCTCCAGTCCCACCACGGGGGCAAAGTACTGATGGCGGAAGAGATGGCTGGTGAGGGGCTGGCCAGCCCACATGATGTGCAGCGTGGCCGGCATGTGGCCGCAGCGGCGTGGTCGGATGACCCGGTTAAAGTAAGGTCGGATTTTGAGGTTGCGCATGGGGTAGATAGAGTAGATGTTGCGCTGAAGGACAGAGGCCAGGGCGTACAAATGCCACACGTTGGAGAAACTGCTGGGGAAGCAGGTGGCCTTGACATCTGCATCGAAGATGGCCTCCAGTGTGGCAGGAGGCAGGCTGGTCATCTCGGGGGACTCCTCTGAGCACAGGGAGTAGCGCACGGCCTGTAACATCACTTTGGAGTCGATCATGCCCTGCAGGTAATACTGCCTGTGGAGCAGCATCTCCACCACAGTGCGGGCCCGCAGCTCCAGGCTGAGGCCCGTGTCCCCCCACAGGAGCGTGCTGGCCGCTTCAAACAGCAGACTGCCCCCACCCTGGCACACCAGGGGCAGCATATTGCGGGGGGCATCTTCTGGGTACAGGCTCAGAGCCACAGAATCTACCTCCAGCACTTGGAGCCCCAGGCTCTCCTTCCGGCCACTGGGAAGGGTGAAGGAAGACAAGACCCGCTTGGCCTCCAGGGCAGCAGTCACAAGACCCTCCAGCCCCTGGGAGTCCACGGCTTCCTGCAGCTCCTGTAGCACCTGCTGTATCAGCTCATCGCGAGAAGTCATCCTGAAAGGGCAAAGGGCAGAGGTCAGAATAAAGTATCCGCATGATACACACACCCCCAGCATTGGTGCCGTGTCCACTCCTACACTTTCTCCATTGCAGGTAACGGCTAACTAACTGCCTTCTTGAGTTTGTTGAGGTGCTCAGGGTTATGAAGGAGAGGATGGTCTCATCTCTGGAACCTGGCTTTGAATCTTGGCTCTGATGTTAGCCTCAAACAGCAACTTAACCTCTAGGGTTCTGCTTCATCTAACGTAAAATGAGAATAGTCATATATAACCTACCTTAGAGAGTCACTATAGGCATTAAGAGAAATAATGCAGAGAAGATATACATAGACACACCTGCACATACACGCACACACACAAACACACATACAGTTACTTACTGAACCTAGCTGGGCATGGGTGGCTCACATTCGTAATCCTAGCTAGTCAGGAAAGCTAAGACTGAGGATCACAGTTCAAAACCAGCCCAGGAAGGAAAGTCCATGAGACTCTTAACTTTATTTAACCAGCAAAAAGCCAGAAGTAGAGCTATGGTTCAAGAGGTAGAGCACTAGCCTTGAATGAAAAAAGCTAAGGGACAGTGCCAAGGCCCTCAGCTCAAGCTCCCTCCTCCCCCCTCCCCACAACAAAAAGAATGTTCTTAACACTGGATGCAGTGGCCCATTCCTACCATCCCAGCTACCAAGGAAATCAGGTAGATCACAGATGGAGGTTAGCCTGGAGAGGGGGGCAAAATGTTATGGGGACCTGGTCATGGCTCCAGCTATTTGGGAGCCTGTACATAAGGGCCTTATGGCCCGGGGCTAGGCCCAGGCAATAACTCAAGAAAAATAACAAAGCATACAAAGGGCAAGGGGTTGAGGCTCTGCTTAACAAGTGCAAGGCTTAGAGTTCAAAACCCTCACAAGCAAACAGGGGGGTGGCAGGGGGAGGGGAAAAGTGTGTGTTCTTAGAACAGTGAAGATGATCTATTTTACTCAATCATGACCATTAAGTGTCTCCTCTGTATTGGGAGAGCACACAGAGCCACCGGCTGCATACTGAGCAGGATGAATGTCTCAGTTGGACCATTGTTTGCATGTGTGATGAATTAGCTGCTTTTAGCATGGAATACCATCTTCACTTTAGAGAAAGACTGACACAAACATTTTCTCCAAAATGAATAAAGTGAGCCTGTCACTTCAAGGAAGATAACTGTATTCGCTGCCCATGAGAAATTTGGAAGTTTCATTTGAAATTCTGAATTAGGAAAGTAGGCACATTTGCATGCAGCTGCAGTCTCAGACACTCAGGAAGCTAAAGTGGAAAGGTTGCTTCAAGCTCATGAGTCCACAACCTGGGAACAGTTAGATCCCATCTGAAAAACAATCAGTTTTCAGAAAAGGTTGTTTCCACTACAGTAAGCTTGATAGCTTCCCAATACTGACAAATCCCTGGTGAGATCGATGATGACATTACTGAATGTGGTGACTCCACATTTCCATGGACTTACTTGCTACATCACTCAATGAACTGTACTTCTCAAATAACAGGTAGTATTATATGGTTATTCACAATGGTAAAAGATCCATTCACAGTATAAAAGGAACTAGGCACCAGAGGCTCACACTTGTAATCCTAGTTCCTCAGGAGGCTGAGATTTGAGAATCATGGTTTGAACCAAGCTCAGGCAGGGAAGTCCATCAGACTCTTATCTCTAATTAACCACCAAAAAGCACCAGCCTTGAGGGGGGAAAAAAAAAAAAAGCTAAGGGGCAGGTGCCCAGTAGCAGCACAAAAGAAAAAGCTGTATGTAGTGGCACAGGCTTTGTAAACCTGGCACGGGGGAGGCAGAAGATTGAGTTCAAGGCCAACCTGAGGTTATACATGGAGATTGTATCTCAGCAAATAAATAACAAAAAAGTAGGCACAAAAACTAAAAAAATTAAAATAAAAAAATCTCATGAGCCAGGCACTGGTGGCTCACACCTGTGGCTACTGGTGGCCACTCAGGAGGCTGAAATCTGAGAATAGTGGTTCAAAGACAGCCCAGGCGGACCTTAAGGTCAATAAAACACACAAAAAAGCTGGAACTAGATTTGCAGTTTAAGTGGTAGAGCACTAACCTTGAACAAAAAGAAGCTTAGGGATATACCCAGGCTCTGAGTTCAAGCACCAGGACTGGCCAAAAGCAAAACAAAACCTCATGAATATTAGTTTTTATTTTCCTTAGACAGAGTCTTCTACATAGCTCAGGTTAGTTTTGAACTAATCCTTCTTCCTCAGCCTTCCCAGAGCTGGAACTAAATGTACACTCAAATCCCACATTATAACTAACCTTTTACAAGTCTATTGCTTGTTCAGTTTCATAATCTCAGAGAAAATCCAGAGGGGCTGGAAATGTGGCTTAGTGGTAGAGTGCTTGCCTAGCATGCATGAAGTCCTGAGTTCGATTCCTCCGAACCACACAGAAAAAGCCAGAAGTGGCTCTAGTGGTAGAGTACTAGCCTTGAGCAAAAGAAGCTCAGGGACAGCATTCAGATCCTGAGTTCAAGCCCCAGGATTGGCAAAAAGAAAAAGAAAGTCCACTGGAAAAAAAAAAAGCCATCAATACATCTTTCCCTTCTCCACCTCTTCATTCACTTTCACAAAATAACATATCAAAACAGAGGCACTCTAAAAGACAGGAGAATCCACCTCTGTTCTGTTAAACTGCGTATTTACAGAGATTAGGGAGAAATAAAATAAATTCTTATTTTTTTCATTGTTTTTGTTCATTTAAAGCAATGATTACTTATACTGTTTTATTTTTGCAATGCTAGGGATATAACCCAAGGTTAAGCATGTAAGTAACTGCTCCTTAGCCTCTGTTTTTTTTTTCTTTGTGCTGGTCCTGGGGTTTGAACTCTCAGGGCCTGGGTACTGTCCCTGAGCTTGTTGTACAAGTCTAACACTCTACCACTTGAGCCACTTCCAGTTTTCTCCAAGTAGTTTGTTTATTGAAGCTAAGAGTCTCATGGGCTTTCTTGCCTGGGCCGAATCCTCAGCTCTTAGCCTCCTGAGTAGATAGGATATAGGCCTGAGCAAAGAGCTATCCTGAGCCACCCTGGTTGGCTCACTTTATTTATTTATTTTTTTGTCGGTCGTGGGGCTTGAACTCTGGGCCTGGGCACTATCCCTCAGCTCTTCAGTTCAAGGCGAGCGCTCTACCATTTGAGCTACAGCGCCACTTCCGGTTTTCAGGTGGTTTATTGGAGATAGGAGTCTCATGGTCTCTCCTGCCCGGGCTGGCTTTGAACCGTGATCCTCAGATCTCAGCCTCCTGAGTAGCTAGGATTACAGGCGTGAGCCACCAGCGCCCGGCATGATTGGCTCACTTTAAAATATGAATACACTTTACACTGGTAGAAACAAAAGATTGTTGTAAACAAAAGGTGATCCTTAGTAGTGTAATAGATAAATAAATGAAAGCTCACAAGCGTCCTGAGACCAGAAACAAAAGCAGCCTTTTCAGAGGAGTAGCTATGTCTACCCACACTTACAATAGAAGCTAATCATCCTAATTTCAGTGTTCAGATACCTCTTTATGGACAGTTTCAAATGAGAAATGTGATGCTGTGTTTAAGTGTACACAATTGTAAAAGTGAGATTCAATAAAAGCATTTCAAAACACTGAAGGAACACCTGCCTAGGTTTAACTTGATAATGATAAAGAAAGGTTGTTGTTGTTTGTTGTTGTTATTGTTTGGGGGGGAGGCAGTTCTGGGGATTGAACTCTGGGCCTGGACCCTATCCCTGAGCTCTTCAGCTCAAGGCTAGTGCTCTTCCACTTTGAGTCAGAGCGCCACTTCCCGTTTTCTGGTGGTGAATTGGAGATAAAAAGTCTCATGGATTTTCCTGCCTGGACTAGAATAAAGAAGTTTTTAAAGCATTGATAATAACAATCCCCTTTGGATAAAGTTTCCCAGCAGCAGACTTCTTCAAGATGTGCATCTTATTACATATCTAGGATAGTTAACTCCCACCAAATTTCTTCTGTATAATGGATTTCAGCCTTTTTGTTGTTTTCCTTGTTTCCCCTCAGACAGTCTTGAGTAGTAAAGGCTGACCTTAAGCTTTCCTCCAGCCTAGGCCTCCAGTGCTGGGATTAGTCAAATACATTGTCACACCCATCTGGATTTGGGCTTTTGATCTGTTACCACTCGTGCATTTTATGGTTATAAACACATGAACCCTGACAAACAAACTAAACACACTGAAGAGACTTTACATTCTGGCAAACAATCATAACCTCAGGAGAGGATGGCAGTTTTTTTTTTTTTTTCTGTTTTTCATACATGTGACTTGTTATGTGCTGTTATCCAGCTCCATATACATGAGTGCTCTGCCAGGTACTTTGCAAACAAAATTATTTACCATTTACTGACTGCATTGAACTTCAGATAACTCAACCAAAATCTCAGGGAAAACAAAGAATAAAAGACCAATTTTAGGGCTGGGAAGGTGGCTCAGTGGTAGAGCGCTTGCCTTGCATGCCTGAGGCCCTGGGTTCGATTCCTCAGCACCACATAAGCAAAAAGAAAAAAGCCAGAATGTGGCTCTAGTGGTAGAGCGCTGGCCTTGAGCTGAAGAGCTGAGGGACAGCGCCCAGGCCCAGAGTTCAGGCCCCACGACCAGACCCAAAAAAAAAAAGACCAATTTTAGATCTAGGTAATTCTCCTGCTTCACTCTGTGTACCTGTTTCCTGAGACCCTGACTTTCCTTTGGATAATTAACTCAGGGCCTTGCACTTGCCAGCCAAGTGCTATTCTACTCAGCTAAATCCCCAACCCAGATTCTCATTACCCAAAATTCTCTAAATGATTTATTTGAAAGGATACAGGCATTCTGGAGCTTTGTGATGAACCTAATTATTTTATAAAGAAACTGAAGTCCAGAATGGAAAGGGTTGACTTGCCTGAATTCATGCAGTAGTGTCCATAAACTTCCAACACATACATCCAAATATACCGCAT